AGTCTAGACGACAGTAAAATCAGATAATATATATTACAATTATATAATATATTCTATATATATATTTTTATATTTTATATACTATATATATTGTATTATAATAACATAATACATAATATATATTATAAATGATAAGATTTCTTCCCGAATAGAATCCGCTGAAACGATACTCGCGCGAGATCGCCATAAAATAATTTCGCGCCCCCTCAAAACCGTTCGCGAAAATAATTTCGTGCTCCATCGCGATTTGATTCGCATTCTTTAAAATTAAACGCGCGCGTCAAGCAACGTCGCCACCGATCTGTGTGCTATGTTCGCGGGCTGCTACAGTGTTCCGTGTTTTGTTGCCGGTTAGCTGTCCCGCGTGGATTGATTGCGACACGATGCAATTGTCGCCAGTTGTAACGTTTGGCAACCGCGCCGGTCTCTGTCGGAGTTCCGAGATTTTTGCGATGAAATTATCGAGAAACGAACCGTTTTATATGTACATAATCCGCTCGCAGGGCGATTCGATCGTCGTCGCGGCTCCGATCGTTCTTCATTCGTTCGCCGAATAGTTTTGCCGCGAAAGATAAACGAGATTCCGTGGCCGTCGAACAGAGAGGTCTTTAAATTCCCTTGGCAACGATTGTCGGTATCAAAGCCTGCTACGTGACCCTCGCTTTTTGGCCAAGTTATCGCAATCGCAACCCCGAATAGACCTCCTTGACTTTTGCATTTCGTTTCGAGAGGATACGAAATCGCGTTCACGGATCGATCGGGGTTTTCCTCGTTATAGTTGTTTTACCTTTTTGGTCGATCATCTTCTCGGTCTTCATAGGGAAATTATATTAATAATTATATAATTAAAGTATAGGGAAATTTGCGGGATGACGATTGCGATCTATCGGGCACGGAATTATGCGGCGCGCGACGTTCGGAGCGCGAGGGCCACGCCCCCCGACTCCCGTCACGCGCATCCCGCGCCCCGTGATCGCCTAAACGCACGCAGCATCTCAGGCGCGTAACTGTTCGTGGCGCTTTAGGGCGACGCTTATATCGATAGATTTGTCCCTTATCGTCCGAAAAAGACGATAATTCGTCAATTCTGAGTATTAACAATTTCAGAGGCAATTCTGAATCAATTCGATAGAATTTAGAAAATTCAGCGATTCATTTTTACTACCACGAGTGCATAGTAATTTTCATTCGATCCTAAATGCCATCTTGTTTATTTGCTCAGTTATTTGTTTATTTATAAGATCGCGTATATTTATGTAAATGCAATCAACTTTGTCCGCAGCTTCACCCAAAACAAAAAACAGTATAGAAAAAATATTAGGGAAGCTTCGTGGCGAGTTAAAGTTTCGTCCAACAGAGTTTATTTCGATATTTTTGTTCAACGAACACACACAAAGTTTCTTCTTAAAAGTTCCTGCTCGCTTTTGTATCCCTTTTTGTATGTATCCATCGTTGACCAGGAATTTCAAGCGGACGTTATTTTCTGTCGTCGCGAAATTGCCAACGCGAGCGTAAACGAAAGTTAACCAACGACCGATCAACAATGCGTTAACAAATTCTCCCGAGATTTCGCGTATCGCGCGTCGCAATTTAATAAAATAGTCGATTAATAACACTTTTTAGGTATCACTGTTTTCTCCTTCGTACATTTTCCACAAATTTTTTGCGAATTATGCGAGTTTCAGCGGTTTCGTTGTCCGTGCGCGATCTTATTTGACATTTTCCTCGCGATTGGAGAATATTGCTCGATGGTAATATGCTATATAATTAATATTTATATTATAATATAATTAATATTTATAATATAATTATACTATATACTATAATTAATATTTATAACATAATTATACTCTATACTATAATTAATATTTATAACATAATTATACTCTATACTATAATTAATATTTATAATACAATTATACTATATACTATAATTAATATTTATAATACAATTATACTATATACTATAATTAATATTTATAACATAATTATACTATATACTATAATTAATATTTATAATACAATTATACTATATACTATAATTAATATTTATAACATAATTATACTATATACTATAATTAATATTTATAATACAATTATACTATATACTATAATTAATATTTATAACACAATTATACTATATAATTAATATTTCTTCCTCCTTCCTCTCCTTCCTCAAGAAATTCTCAACACAGCAAATTCTCCCCAATTTTCCTTCAGCTTGTAAACAAAAATGGACAATTTGGGAATAGAAGATACGATCATTCAAGTCCCACAACTCACTTTTCTACTCGCAGTTCATCAACAATTACAAAACCGAGACGCAACGCGCTCGGAGAATCTCATCTCCTCTTCCCAAAATTCTCCAATTTCGTCCGCAAACCGACGGAAACTCGGCGAGAATCGACGAAATAATCGTTCTGTCCGTCGGATCAGGGATTTCTGGCACGAAGACGAGGAGTACGAGGACGAGGAGGACGAGGAGGAAGACCTCGACGACGAGGACGACGATCGTCCGCTGAAGGAGGGCCGCGCCGGCACGGAGATCGACGATCGATTGATGGTATTCGGCGACCCGACGTGCAACTACGCGACCTCCGTGGACTACAGGAACACGATCGATCTGCGGGAGATCGGCGTCGAGTCGAAGAGGGACGCGCTGTTGGACCTGAAGAGCGGCCAGGCGACCGTGTCGAGTTCGTTTCGACTGCTGCAGACCAGGTTAAATATAGCCGGCGGTATGGCGCACGGTCTCGGCAACATGGTCGCCGATCATCATCATCATCATCACCACCATCACCATCATCATCATCAGCAGTCGCAGTCGCAGTCGTCGCAGCCGCCGAAGCAGCATCAGCAACATCAGCAATCGCAGCAGCCGCAGCATCCTCGGTACGACGAATACGAGCACCACGAGCCGCGGCAGCACCAGCACCGGCAGCAGCAGCGTCAAGGGTGGAGCAAGGAGGAGTGCTTTAATTTTAGATTCACGGATAAATCTCAAAGCGCGCCCAGTCTGCCTAGCAGCATCGAGGAGTCCGGACACGGTCCACGGTCGTTGGCAGCGCGCACATCCTCAAGGGCAACGTCTTTCGTGTCAACCTCGAACCTATTCGAGAACTACACCAGGGTAGCGAGCGTGCCGGTCGACCTGAATCTCTGCGGCTTCTCGACGTCGTACGATGACCCGGAGTACCTCGAAGTGATCGCCGACGACCACGAAATGGCGGGGATCGCGAACGTGCACGAGAACCAGCGGCCGGAGAGCATGGAGGAGATCCGACAGAACGGCGGCGAGGAGACCGCCGTCGGCCAACAGTTGAAGAACGCTATGACGACGACGACCTCGGTGAGAACGCAGGCCCCGCAGAGCGCGATGGTCGACGGGAAATTGGACCTTGTCGAGGAGAGCCTCGCGGAGGAGACGGAGTGCGCGGGCGATCATTGCCCGAGCCCGCGGGAGAAGAAGAAGAAGAAGAAGAAGCAGCAGCAGCAGGTGACGTCGACGGTGAAGACGCAGGACCGCGGGAACTGCGTGCTGGACATGGCGATCGCCATGGAGAACGATCTGGGCGCGGTGGACGAGGCGATCAAGCAGTTCAAGCGCGAGGTCGAGGAGGCCAGCACGCTTCTGAACGGCAAGAACGCGGACGGAGTCCAGAGGACCCTGTCGGGCAGGGTGCGCGGCCACAGGGTGAAGAACAACGCCAGCTACGAGCTGGCCCAGCAGTTCGAGATCGACGAGAGGAACTTCCGGCAGGCGGGCCGGGTCCGCAAGGACGGTGTCAAGGACAGTGAACAGACGTCGCCGAAGGGCGGCGGCTTCGGCGGTAGGAGACGCGCGATGAACAACGCCAGCTACGAGCTGGCGCAGCAATGCGACTACATGAAGGCGGTGGCGCAGTCGTCCAGGGGTGCCTTCCAGCGGATGGACGCCTGCGACGAGCTGGAGGAGCGCGGCTCGTCGCGGCGCGGCCCGAGGCTCAGGGTCACCGACATGGTGCAACAGATGAGCAGCAGCTCGACCTCGAACCTGCACAAGCACGAGCCGTACCAGGACACGAAGACGTACTCGAAGTCGACGGAGAACATATTCTCGCAGTTCTCGAAGGGCCCGTTCACCCAGGTGCCGATCAATCGGTTGGGCGAGCGGCTCAAGAAGGAGGAGGAGGAGGAGGAGGCGGCGTCGCTGTTGTGCCAGGTAAAAAAAAACTCGGATCCATTTTCAGCCTATGGAAGAGATCGTAGTGGACACCCCGTAGTAGACGACGAGATAGATTTCCCCTGCTTGGAGACCAAACCCATAGGAGCATCCAGTTCGGAGGGGGTCGCGCCGTGCGTCGCGTCGACCGCGACCCAGCCGCAGCAACCCTCTGACCCGGCGCGGGGCCCGGGGGCTCCGGCTGCGACGCCTGGGTCCCCGGCGCGCCGCGGGACCGACCGACGCGATCACGGGCCCACGAGCGACGACAGACCGGACAGATCGTACGCGAGCGACTATCGTTCGGAGCGAGCGATGGGCGGCCGAGAGGACGACGACGGCGAGTGGCCGGAAGTCGCGGGCGACGTCGACGACGCCAACGCCGGCGGCGACGTCGTCCGTGGCTCCCCGCTCGCGGGTAGGAACGGAGAACGACTCTGGAGGGTCGTGGTGGAAAAGCAGGCCGCGGAGAAAGAGGCTTCCGCGAAGAAGGTTACAACGCCGGAGAAGCTGGAGGAGGAGGCGGAGGAGGAGGAGGTGACGGCGGCGGTGGCGGCGTGGGAGAGGAAGGGGACGGAGGAAAGGAAAGCGAAAGAGAGAAGAGAGAAGGAGAAAGAGAAAGAGCCGCCGACGGCGGAGGTGGTGGCAACGGCGGCGGAAGCAGCGAGGGGACACACTGTCCACGGTGTTGCCCCCCCACCACCAAGCGGCGGCAGCAACACCGACGGCGACGGCCTGCTGGAGCCCAGCGAACGGAGTGGGAAGCCAGCGGTGGCCGTGGTAGTTGATACGAATCATCGCGGTGATCGCGACAAACGTCACGAGGAGAACGCGGCGGCAACAACAATTGCGGCGGCGGCGGCGGCGGCAGCTGCGGCACCGGTACCGATCAGGGTAGCTGAAGAGGCGACGAGGATGTCGGGCCCGGTGGCCACCGCGAAACGGACCATCGTCACCACCACCACCACCAGCAGCACCGCCCCCTCGAAGAAGGACACCGCGGCCAGGTACCAGAGGAACATGGTGGTGGACGCGTCCTCCGGGACCACCGTCGTCAAGGAGGAGAGGAAGAAGGGCGGGTTCGGCGGTTTCCTGCAGAGGTTCTCCAGGCTACGGTTCAGTGGTAGATCGAAAGTGCCGCGGTCCGAGGTGCAGAAAAAGAGTGACGCGCACGGCCAAGTGAATCGCGGCAAGGTGATCGACGAACAGACTAAAAAGGAGCCGGATTATATCATAATACCCTTGCATCCGCCGGAAGAGGAGAGACAGAAGGAGGAGAACGTCGTCGCGGAGACCAAAAACGACGTCGGATGGAGGCCCGCGGGGGACGTGCAGCGCAGCTCCTCCAACATCAGGTGAGTCATTCGTATCGATGCGGTATCGTACACTTTTCCAACACGCGAAAAGGCGAGTCCCGGACCGATGTCGATTCGCGCTCTTTTATCGGCTTGTTCGCGAACCTTCGTTTTCGTTTCGCGTTTTCATTCGAGTCCGTTCCAGCGAAATCTTATAATTAATTGATATAATATTTAGGAATAATCGAACTTGTTATACGGTGCCGGACACTCGTGGTATCATTCGTTTCCTTCGGTATTAATCATAGTTGTTCGCACGGCGCCGGTAACCAAACGGCTCCAAACGAAAACAGACATTTTACTTAGCGCCGAACGGACCCAGATATACAGGGTGTCACAGATTTTAATGTTCAAACTTTGTCGGTGTATTCTATGGCACAAGGTAAGAAGAAAATGTTATGCGAACATAGGTCATACAGAGCGTTGTTAAGAAGTTATAACAAAAATTCGGAATAGGAATGGTAATCAACTTGCTGTTACTGCGAGCATTGGCTTGAATAAATCAGCACATGCCGTCTGTTTATGTAAGCTGTGTTTATTAATACATTTCGAAATGTCTACGGTTGTTGACAATACATGATTGACATAGATCGAAGATCGAATTTATGACCGTGCGAATTTCGTTTCTATTCTCTTCCATTTCATTGAACGAATTTTTGTTGTAACCTCTTAATAAAGCTCTATATGACCTATGCTTACAGAACATTTCTTTCTTACTTTGTGCCATAGAATATACTGACAAAGTTTGAACATTAAAACCTGGGACACCCTGTATATATCACTGTCCGATCGTTGACGCAGAACCTATCGTTGGGATGAAAAGACTGTTTATTTCGATCCGATGCTCGGATTCACGAAATTCGTTCGATCCTTTTTTTACGAGAGAGTGTGTTTATAGCAGCACAGTACACGTCTCCCTAACTGACGCTCAGATTGTGCTTAAAAATTTGAGCAATTTGCGAGGAGGAGATACGATTATTCGAGCTTTGCGGTTCGTTTTCATAGTTACGAATTGAGCCGTTTATTTTGAAAGTGGCACAAGTCACTTTGTTTTTAAGTCGATATATTTAAGGGTTCGCGTTTTAACACGTTTCAAAATATGGATGCTAACTTTCGAGAAGATTATATATATATTATTTGTTATCTCAGGATACACTGATACTTTTCTCAGTATAAATAATTTCGTATAAACATGAAAAAATCACCACTTTCCATTACGGTAAAGTGACTTATGCCACTTTCAAAATAAACGGCTCATATATCACTGTCCGATCGTTGACGCAGAATCTATCGTTGCGATGAAAAGACTATTTATTTCGATTCGATGCTCGGATTCACGAAATTCGTTCGATCGTTTTCCACGAAAGAGTATGTTCATAGCAGCACAATAATGCCTCCCTAACCGACGCTCAGATTGTGCAGAAAAATGGACAATTTTTGGGAAGAGATTATTCGAGCCTAGCATAACCTTGACATAATCTTGACGATTCGTAACTATGAAAACGAACCGCAAGGCTCGAATAATCGTGTATCTCCTCTTCCCAAATTGGCCAAATTTTTAAGCACAGTTACTGTAGTTCTAAATCGTCACATTGAGTTAGCAATTGCAAGTTATAGCAATTGCAGAGAATTTGCTATAACTTTGCGATGAAATGAGAGCCGTAGGAACTTCCGTCGAACACCTCGGATCGTTGAAATTCCGTTCGCAGTGCTCTTCCTCGGGTTCCGAGGAAGGCCGGTTAATCGAGAAGAATGACAGAACTATGTCGCCGCGTCGGGAAATCGGTCGAGCGTTCCGCTCGATTCTCCGGCCGTTTGTCGAACATCCGCCGTTGACTTTGACCTCGTCGATTGTTTACACGGTTTCGCGACCATGGTACCGTATCACACGGATTTACGCGGGCTTAGACGGCTCTTATGGCATCGACGACGACCGCCGTCTCTCTCGCCAGGACGCGGGAACCGGCGAAATTTCGAATCTCTGCGCGCGCGCGCACGTCATACCTCGGGGATAGGGAAATATTTACACAACGTCGGGCTGCAGGCTCGTTGATTTACTGCACGTAAAGTCGCTCGAATGCGGACACCCGTAATCTCTTACGTAATTACTGTATTATGAGAGACATCTCTCTCTCTCTCTCTCTCTCTCTCTCTCTCTCTCTCTCTGTGTGTGTGTGTGTGTGTGTGTGTGTGTGTGTGTGTGTGTGTGTGTGTGAGCGAGCGAGCACGTCGTGTCGCCGCGCGCGCGCGCGCTCGCGGCCGAAGAGCGCACGGTCTATTGAATTATCGCGGAGTTTCGTGGTGTCCCGTACCTGAACCAGCAATAAATCTTTGCCTCGGAGCCGGCTGCGTCCGCGCGCAATCTCTCACCGATTATTTCTCGCGAAAGCGAGACTTATTGTTTACACGTGTGCCCGTGTAATTGCCGCGCGCGCGCGCGCTCCCTAATTGTATCTTTTTCACGGAGTCTCGACGGTGTTTTGCACCGATTGGTGCCGGTGGAAAGTTGCTTTTGTCGTCGTTTTGTTCGCGCGCCAGTGAAAGGGATTTTAGGGTTTTTAGAAATGTCGAACGTGGAATTTTTTTTGGAAACGATTCGATCGATTTAGTTTGACGACGAGACGTTTCAGCGAGACGTTTCTCGTGGTGCGAGATTCTGGGGAAGGTTAACCCTTTTAGCACCGAGCGAAAGAAGCGTACCTAGGCGAAGAATACTGGGCCGAATCGGCGAATTTGTAGAGGTTTGCGAAAATGCTCGTAAAAACCAAAGTAGGCGTGATATTTACAAAATTCAAAAAGCAGCATATTGCGAAAGGAATGGAGAATAAATCAATACCAATGAAGTTTCGATATTTGTTAAAAATCATAAGAATAACATAAGTATAAGACAATAAAAATCGTACAAAGTAATTTCTCTTTTTCAAAACGTAATTGCACATAGAAAAAATCAACATGTTCAGAAATTGGTACGTAAAAAATAAATCGAAATATTCTATTGGTTTGGATATGTTCGGTGGCAAATGTTTAGGGCCGGGTATTTCCGAAAATAACGGGCGCGGGTTATATTGGCTATCGTTTTCAACATTTACTTTCCTGAAATTCGTGAAAGATTCACTCTGGCATATACAGACCCTCGGCACGAAACAACATAAGATATAACAAAAAGTTGATCTAATAAACATTTTTTCACTTGTGTTGCATCGAATATGAACCATTTTAACATTTCATGAAGTCATACTTAAACACAGATCTTTTGTGATGAGTATAATAAGGCTCTAACGGAGGCGCAACGATATATCGTCGTTCGGTACTAAAAGGGTTAAGGTTAAGGGTAGGTCGAGGGAAATGAACGAAAAGCTGACGATTGCGGTGGTTTCGACCTTTTCATAAATCTGCGAATCGTATCGTATCGATGAAAGCAATTTATGTTAAATTAATCGATTTGTGTTTTTAACAACACTTCGTTGAGAAAGTGAACGTATCGGGGCGCTGTGTCCAGGCAACAATTACGCGATAGAAAATCGTGGGTTTCGCAATATCTTATTGTTGAAACGATCGGAATGCTTGCGTCACGAAGCATAAGTGCACGCGGTTTCATATAATTTATCTTCTATGCGAAAATATTTATTCAGATAACGATTTTTCGTATCCGGAGCACGCACGTTGCAACAGACACACGTCTTTCCAATTGTACTTTCGATTCAATCGGATGTTCGTTGTTTAAACTTGGAGTACTAATTCTGCTCTAGAATTAAACGATCGAAACGTCGCTGAATATCAAAATAATTCGAACTAAAATAAATAAATAAAAAAAGAAATAATAATTATATTATATTAAATATAGCATATTATACTGAATATAATATAATACTAACTATAATATACTATATTTAATATAATATAATTATATTATATTAAATCTAGCATATTATACTGAATATAATATAATACTAAGTATAATATACTATATTTAATATAATATAATTATTATATCTTTTTGATTCATTACTACAAATAAATATAGTAAATTTTCCCTAATTTCCCTTCAGCTTGCAAACAAAGTAGACAATTTGGAAAGAGCAGATATTCGAGCCTTGTGTCTCGTTGTTATAGTCCTTGACACCTGTAGCAAAAAAATAATATGGAATAAAAATAATGAATATAAAATAAGAATAATGAATATAAAATAAATATACTGGTAAATACAAAATAATCGCATCTCCCCTGTCCAAATCGTCCCTTTTCGCGCGCGATCTGTGCGCGAATTGGGAAGAATTCCCTGTAACGTGTCAAAAAACGGGAACCAACCCTCTCCACCATTTACCCGCATATTCTTGTCGCTCTAATAATAAATCTCCGGCGGCGAACGTTGCCGGGTTGCGTTAATCAATTTTCCGAACATCTCGAGTTCGCGCGCGGAACATTTGTTTTCGCAAAGCAAACATTCGAAAACGGTACAAAAGCGTTTTCCCGAACGCCGTTAAGCAAAACACCGGTGTACCTTGATTTGTTGTTTCTGGCTCTCTCGTAAAACCGGCCATTACCGGCTCAATTTTCGCGTTCACAGTTCGCGGACGTTTTGTTTAAATTCTGCACGATCTGTCGACTCTCCCTCGCGCGAGCGCGCGCGCGCGCACGTCCCGTTTCGTTTCGATTTGCCGAGACCGGAAGCCGAGGATCACCGACGGTTGTTCCCGACCGGTCCCCCCTCCCCTTCCCCCGTCCGCCGCCTTTACGGGCTCGCTCTATCCGCGATTCGTAAACAACGGGGCCTTTCTAGACGCCCGTGAATCTGTTTCGAGGTATGTTTCTCCTCTGCGACTGGAAGCAACGAGGTCAGTGATACCGGGGAGAGCATTTCGTAATGGCGGCCGGAGTCGACGAACAGCTGCCAGTCTGCCCGCGCGCGCGCGCGCTCTTTCCACCCACTCCCTCGATCATCCCATTTGGTTTTATTCGCCGACGGTTCTCGAGGGGGGTATTACGGCCCAGAATGCGCA